AATGGACCATTCCTGGAGAGGCAGGCAGAACTTTTAGCATCTAATCTCAGATTTACCTCTTATTGCTAGAATGAAGTACTGACTATGGACTAGATATATTTGAAATTAGTGTATCTTTTCATTTAAAGATGATTGCAAATGCAGTTCAATATTTAACCAGGCTGGAAGGTAAGGGAATCTCCAAACCACCTTCATTTAAAGTAGGGAAACTCTAGCAAAGGAGAGGGTTTGAATCCAGAAAATATATTCCCTCTCCCCTCAGATTTTCTTGGACTTTCCCCACCCTCCATACCACCCTACCTCTCATCCCACCCCATCTCAGCCTTTGCTTCACAGTTCTCCTAAGAACTGCTGAAAGCCACTGATGTTTCTCCCTCTACTCTCCTGTGCTTTCGCTCAGAGGAGCTGAGCAATACAGAATCATCAGGTCGTTAGGTTAGATCTAGGCTTCTCTAACCTACCAACAAGACTCCCAAAGAAAAAACAACCCCAACCTTTAAGTAGGCAGTCAGACTCCTGAAATCTACCAATCACACCCCTGCTGGTAAGAGTTGATGGGTCCACCCTGGGGCAACTTTGCCAGCTGACAGCCCTGAGGACAGTAGCCTGGAAGGGAAGCTGCTAGCAGCCCAAGCAAGTGGAGGGAGCAGTGTTGCCTGCTCATGGTCCCTGCCCCAGGGCTAGCACTTTTTGAGCTTTTAAGTTCTCAGAAACCTTCAGAATTCCAACTCATTGCATTTCAAGATGGGGTCTATTTGGCTGCTGTAATGAATTACTAAAGACTGAGTAACTTCGAACAGAAATTTACTTCTCATATTTCTGGACACAGATAAATCTAAATCAAGGTACCAGCAGGTTCAGTGTCTGTGAGGTGGCTTATGATCCCTGGTTCTGCTGTTCACTGGCAGGATAATCTCAGGCAGTTCAACAAACTAGGAAATAGTGGCCATGTGGGAATTATCTAATGATATATGCAATAGAGTGGATGATCGATAAATGAGGAGGGTAGTAAAAGTTCTGAGCCTCCATTAAGCCAGAATTCATACTTCAGAGAAGCTTCAGAGTTACTGCTAACCTTGATGTTGAGTGCTGGGATCTGCTGCCAACTTGGGAGTTTTTGAGCGCATGATTAATTGCTAATTCTCTAATTGCTCCTCTGCTCCTTTTCCCACATCCTACTGCATTCATTGTGCAATGTCTGGTGCCTATCAGGCACTCAATAAATGTTTGCTGAACTAAGCCTATAAACCAAACTTCTTAGCTTATTCTAAAGAAACACTGCTCTTCTGAAGAGGATAGGAATTATGGGAACATCACCCACTGAGACTCTTGACAAAGAAACATGAGAAAGCATTTCCAGGCTTGTGGTGGATCCTCTGGGAAAAAGCAGAAGTCAGGAAAGAACTGAGGCTGCTTGGAAGGCTGAGGCTTGGGGGCTTGGAAAAAATTGCAAAGAGAGTTGTTTCTGACTAACTTTCTGAATGGAGTAGTTCACTGAATCAAAGAATATTAATATGAATGATTTAGAAACCACCCAGAAATCAGTCTCAGGCCCAGAGAGGGCATGTGTCTTATATAAAATCAGATTAATAATAACAAAGAAAGGGCCAGGGTTCAGGGTTAATTATTCATTTAGTACTTTTTTTCAAGATTGCAATTTTTAAAAAAATGGTACTTTTAACATGTTTAGAACAAGTAGAAATGAAAGGGATAGGTCACTCCTTGGTGCATAGGGAATACTGTTGATAGATAAGAGTCCGATTTCACATCATCCTTCTCTATCAAGGAAATTGATCTTTAGCATGATAAAAGGATAGTCTGAAGTAGTTGGCAGATAATTAAGTTTTAGGACAGATAACAAGATAGAGAGTGCCTAATCAATTTAATTGAATTCAAGTCTCCAGTCCCAAAGACACTCCACTTCAGGCTACCAAGAGAATTTGCACCAGTTGTAACATGCTCCCTGGGGGCGAGCCTTGGAAACTACTTTCAGGGAAGGGTTAGCCTCTGCATGAGGCCACCAATTCCTACAAGGCCTTTCACACCTAAGCTCTCTGCATCCAACACTTCACAGTTTCCATTCTACCCGGTGTCCTGGTCACTAAGTGGGCTAGCTAATTCTTTAATAGAATAAAGGTTTAAAAATTACAACAAATAAAATGAAGCATCTAAACCAACAAAGTGAAATTTAACAGAACAATGGGAAGTCTTGCATTTAGCATTGTTTCTCAAACCTGTGCAAATATAAAACAGAAGATGTGGAATAATTCATATCAAAATGCTTAGGAATCTTGATAGAGCATGAGCTCACTTCTTTGTGTGATACTGCCAAATGGTTAAAAAATATCTTGGAAGCATCAGTAAAGGCAGAATAAGAGGGCAGAGACTACTGGACTCTGTCAGGAAGATGTGACCTATAGTGTTCTGTTCAACACTGTAGGTCTCCAAGGAAGAAAGAATAAAAGATAATACATGATCTGGAAGCCAGGTCATGAGAGCTTAAAGGACTTCGGGATGTTCATTTTGGAGAACAAAAGTCTCTTCAACTGTAATAACTAAACTGTGGAGGAGGTAGTCATTTTTCTTTGTCATTTCATAAGATTAATTAGACGAAGACAAACTTTTATCAACATAAGAGAAAGGAAATTTGCATTGGTAGAATTCCCATTGCATGCTCCTTTGCGGTACTAGTTGCTTTTTATTATTTTGTTAAAACCTTTCAGAAGCAGTTGGATATTTAGCAGGTGGTGAGTGCCCAGGCACTGGAATTCAGACCTCCCGCTCAATTCACTTAAAGCATTGCTATCCCTTTTTCTGCATCCAGGACTTGGGAATGCTGTCCAGGCCCTCTTGGAATCTGATTAATACCTGGAGTCAGGCTTTCTAGGGCAGCAAAGGCCACTGTGCTTTTGCAACATGGATTTCTAACAGTGTCCATGTTCCGCCTGGATGGCTGTCTGTGAATGAGTGCTATCTAATCCATATTTTTCCAAGCCACTATTTTCTAACTAGTCTTAAATTTTGGAATGGTGGGATGTGTTTGTGGGAAGGAGTAGGTGTAGTGGGGAGCTGAGGAGTTCCTTTAATTGTGAACAACTGAGTGGCAAGGGATGGGAATCAGTGAGGGAAGACTTAATACATTTTTTGGCCAGTTGCACCCTTTCCTTTCATGTAGCCTTAGAGTCACCCAAATGCTGAGACCCTTCACCATAAGGAATTCTCTGGCCAGTGAACAGGGCATCAGACTGTGTCCTATCCTGGCAGCAACCTCAAGTGAACTCAGGGTTCCCATGAAGAGACTTATTGAAGAGACCATTACAGAGATGTGAGCAGGGAATCAGCAAAGAAACCTCGAGGTACCAGGTGCAGTCCAACCTCAAGCTCTGGTGCCTGCTATCTCCCTCTCTGCCTCACTGCTCCCCTTGCCACTTCTACAACTCTTTCAACTCCCTGGAGTCTTCCTTATAATGCCACCTCCTCAGTGAGCACTATGGCCACACCTTCCCAGTACCCCCTCCTCCCCCAGAGATAACTACCTTGTATCACTTAACAGCATCTGATATTTGTATATTCAATTGTGTTTATCATCTGCTTCTACCCACTAGACTGTGGACAGAGTCTTGTCTGTTTTGTTTATTGCTATCATTCAGGCACCTAAAACATTACATAGCCCAAAGAGCATGTACAATAAATATTAGTTGAATGAATGAAGACTAATTGGAATTTTTAGAACACATAGAAAGAATTGCACAGAAGTGATATCTAATCCATCTTTCCCTCTTCCTTTGGATAATCACTCCTTTATGTGAAGCCTGCTGCAATGCAAAGAGCTATCTCTTGGCCACAAGAGGGTGCTGTTGATCAGCTTTTCATTTTGTAGGCAACTTAACACGGTTCTGAGATCATTCCCTCTCTTCCTCTGTAGACCCCAGAAAGAAAACTTGCACCAGGGTCATGTCTGCAGTCAATGCAAACAAGCAGTGTGTCTCATCTACCCTGATGTTACCCAAGTGAAATTCAGTTAAAATTTATATCAAGAATGATCTCAAAAGAGAAAAGGTCTCTATACAAAGCCACAGCATGAGAAACGTGGAGAAGGAAGGAGCCTTGTCTTCCATAGTCTTCACCAACTGGCCAGACAACCTCTTGTTTTGTGCATGTCCCTTTACCTTCCTTCCTTTTGCACCAACAACACCTTCTTGGCTGTTCTGAAAAAGTGTGGGCTCTCACAAAACAGGGTCTAGCTTAAGGACCCCAAATGTCACCTTTCAAGGACTCCTTCATTCTTTTATTAATTCCTCTTTTGTTAAGACATAATGCTAAGGGGCTGTATGGGATAACATAGAAATCAAGGGGACATAAGTCAAGGTTAAGGCACCCAGTTATGACACCATAAGGCAAAAATAAGTAGGATGATAAGTTCAGAGAAGAAGTTAGCAGCATTTGGAAGAAGGCCCAGAGAAGCTATCTCTGATTGGTAGGGCTCAGAGGCGATCTCATGAAAGTAAGACATTTGAATTGGGATTTGAATGACAGATAAGTTGCACATCTTTGTTGGGCTTTATCAAAAGCCCTCTCTGATTTTACACCCTTTATTTTATTCACACTTCAATTTTAGAATGATTTTCATTGTAGAATGGGTAAACCAGCTATGTGCATTAGAGAGGTTAGTTTAACACTTTTTTTAGTACTTCACACTCCTGTAAGACATAGCATAACATAAAAAGAGCTGTAGGAAGATAATGTGTTATTAAATGGTAGAAGGGAGCAAGACTTATAGCCACATTGGTGGTTCTCAATTTCATGCCCCTAGCAATGCCAAAGCAGAGACTGAAGAATCTAACAAATTAACCTGTGTTTACTAAAAAACAAACAAACAAACAAAAAACCCTGGGAGAATTTATATTATCTTGTCTTAGGTTTAACTTTTCTCAACAGCACATGTAGAACCCATGAGTGCATAGTAACGCCCCAGGACTCACAAAACCAATATGGTGAACTCTGGTCAAACATATTCTTTATTTGAAAGAGAGATACTCCAGAGGGAAAGCAAAAATGAAAAGAAAAGATTGGATATCAAGTAGCAGCTCTGGGGTGAAGACTTCTACCTCCTTCCCGGCCCACACCTCTAATACAAGGCCACAGCCACAGCTCCTCCTCTTAGGGGTAGTGTGAGGTGCAGTGATCACCCCAGATTAGTGCGGTAGAACTTCATCCACTTCTAGAGTGAGGAAGGGAAATAAGATATCCCTTAGCCTCTTCAAACTGCTCCTACTCATCATCAGGGGCAGGGCATCCACAAGAAGGTCTGGGTTTATGTACTGCAGGTGGAAAAACACATAACCCAGCAGCCTAATGAAGATCATGACCATGAAGACAAAACCACGGAAATGCCTGCAACAAGACAGTCATCATTAGCATGGGAGAAAGGGACAGCCCAAGGTCAAGAAGTGGGAGGTGAACCTCACACTCATAAATGGCTTGAGAATTGTTTTCTTCAGGCAAAATCTAATGGGGAAAAGCAAGGAATAAGGGTACAGTGGGAGACAGGTAAATGCAGAAAAAGAGTGAGGTAGCAGACAGGAATTGAATACAGCCCCCCACCCCCGACATTTAAATTCCCCCAATAGAATAGATAGATGATCATATGGAAAGTTGGAAGTCCAAATAAAGATGACTTTCTGGGTACCATATGTGGGGCAGGCATTTTGAGGTTATTGGAAAAAGTTGAGAGCAGTCACACTGTGAGCCTCATTGCCATTAGCCCTCTCCAGGTCTTCCACAGTAAGCAGCTTTAGGGTGTGAAGGAAGATTTAGCCATCTCTGACATTGACATCCAAGCAAAATGATGAGGACTGGCTTTTTCTACACACACAATACCAAAATGAACCAACTCAAACAATAAAATGTGTGTGTGTTTTCTTATGTGCCAATTCTACCCTGACCAGTGGTCTTAGATCTTAAGTCTTTGATTGTGGAGAAATAACATAAACTGGAGCTTTTCACAAAAGTACAATACAGAGAAGCACTTCAGAATCAGTCTCCTTATTTCAAAAATTAAAAATGAAAAGGTGCAGAGTTCAAGTAGTGTTCTTTTTGCCTCTAAAAGTGCAGGAGAAGCAGCAAGAGAAGAAAGCACCCTGAATTCTCTTTCCAAGAGAGTAGAGTAGAAGGTTACCATGTTCAGAACCAAGAAAATAAGAAGAGGTCATACTGAGGGTCATTAATGGGAAAGTAAAGTGAAATGCAACACCTAGTCTTCTAAATGCAGAACTTCGAGTAGCAATAGCCACTAACTCCTCTCCAGCTATTTATAGCTCTGTGGCTCTGGTGTTAAAAACTGTGTTGAGAAAGGAAGGGTTGGAAGAAATCTGGGGCTGCCCAACATGTTCTGTTTCATGGGTATGTTTCTACCTATTCCTTTGTCCCCCATCAGGTCACCTGTAGAGTGAATGTGGCCTGACAAGGTCAAACCCAAGATTCTGCCACTTACCTGTACCAAAAGATCCTCTTGTGTTTCTTTTTGATGGCTTTCTCCTGTGGGAAGCAATAAAAACCAAAGCTGTGAATGTCCCGTGCTCACACAAAGGCAGTATAACAGGGTGGCTGGGAGCAGAGATCCTAGGTCAGGCTGCCCAGGTTCCAATCCTGACTCTGCCACCTCCTAGATGCCATGATGGCTATCAGGGCATTAAGCTTCATTTATTAAGTTATTAAAAAGAAGAGGGGAGCAAACAGAGGAGAGGGGAGAACAGGAGAAGCCCTAAATTTAGAGAGGTAAGCCTTACCATGTTGCTTTGGATGGTCTCTACTAGAATTGACCCAGGCTTCACTATTTGGGAAGAGTTTTTCTGGGCTTTGGATCTGGGGGGAAAAAAAGATCAGAGTCAAAAGGTTAAAAAAAAAAAAAACAGGATCAGAATAAAAAGTCATGTAACATAATCAGAGGGCCTGGTAAAATCTGCTTTTCTAACACATTCAATGTGTCCATTTTTGTTTACTAGATATTTATTAACATTCACAATGTTCAACATGCTAGCCAGGTGCAGAGGCACACACCTGTAATTCTCAGCAACTCATGAGGCTGAGGTAGGAGGATCACAAGTCCCAGGCCAGCCTCAACAACTTAGACCCAGTCTCAAAATAAAATACGAAGGGCTAGGCATGTAGGTCATTGGGAGAGCACCCCAGCATTTGGTTCTCCGTACTGCACAAAGCAAACAAACACAACGCCCAACAGTCAAAATTCATAATTACTCAGCACACAAAAAAACTAGGAAAATGTGATCCGTTTACAAGAGAAAGACCATCTGTGAAGACAAAGCCTGATGTTGCCTGATGTTGTATTCAAACCTCAAAGCCTGTCTTTCGGGGCAGCTCAAATGTCAGTTCACATCTTACCTCCTCAGCTGTGCTGCCTACAGACAGCCCTGAGCGTGCTTGGCCTGGAGATTGGCCAGAGATCTGAGCAGAGTTTAGGGGCAGAATTTAGAACTCCCCTTGTTTGGCTCTCTAGTTTCTTTCCAGCACCTGTGGCTCCCCGGAACTCTATTCTCTTTTCTTTTAACACAGAAAGATTTCAGGTTTTCTCTTGGTTTTAGCTGCCCCTTATATACACACTTGGGCAGTTTACCCACAGGCTAGAAGCTATAAAAATGGAAAAAAACCTCCTGCCGTTCTCCTCTTCCCAATGTCAACTCCTCTCTAGAATCTGCCATCCTTATTCATTCCCCGGTGTCTTCTGATCACTATTTGTTTATTTGTTGCTTTTTGTTCTCATTTAGAATCTATAGTTATTTTCTGCTGGAGAGTCAATCCCAGTAAATCCTGACCCAGTCTTTTATTTTTTTTTTAAATAGGAATTTCTTTTTATGATCATGAACTAGAGGAGAAAGGGGAGAAATAGCACAGACTCCTGATTCTTACCATAATGAGGTAGCTTGTGTTAAATGGGCCGACTTCCAAAGGCAACTGGACAAAATGCACAACAGCTGTCTGAATACACAGGCGAATTCAGTCAGAAGTAAAGCCCACGAAGAGGAGCTCCTCATTAATCCAAGCCCCTACACCCCCGGCAAGGACATTTGCCAACGTGTGATGAGCCAGGGAACAGAGTCCACGCAGCCAGTGGCAGCATCAATTGACTGAGGAGTCAGAGGTGGAGTTTAAGACAAAAGTGACTGCGATGGAGGGGAAAAATTCAAGGGAGGTCTTCTTGATGTGGTGGCCAGCTCCTAAGCTGTACACAGGTATCTCAAGATCGCACACACACACACACACACAAAAAAAAAAACAAACCTCAAAGAATACAGAAAGTGCTCAAGAGTTGATCAAAGGTATTGCTGGGGAGTGGAAGTTGGAGTTCCAGATCTCTCAAACTTGAAGGGGAGACTGGCACACTTTGCAGGGAAAAAACATGATCCTTTTAATAGATACCACAGGAGCACTGAACTAAACTTAATATCTGCCATGCTGAAAACACAAAGGACGCTCTAAATAAAAGAGTCTTAATCTGATAAAAGTGTGTGCAAGCAAGTCACAGGGCACATGTGCATCCTGGTGACTAAGTTAATACTTCACCCCTAAGTCCAGTGTCAAGTGTGTCCCCCCAGCCTGTATTACAAAGTCATAGCTGATGCATTCAAAACAAGAAAAAGCAATAAAAAGATATAAAGATTAAAGAGGAAAAAACATACGTGTCATTCTTCATAGATAAAAGCCCCCCAAAAAACCTACAAAGTATTAGAATAAATGGATTTAGAAAGATTGACAGATATACGTTTAATAAATGTAAAGAAGTCAACTGTATTACCATAGCAGTAATCAGAAAACCAAATAAACATATCATTTGTAGTAGCATGAAACAACCAAATACCTAGAAATAAATCTGATGAAAGATTCATTAGAACACGATAGAGAAAACAACAATATATTATTGTGTGAAATTTGAAAAGATTTAAATAAATGGAGATCTAAAAACTTTCATGCGCTTAGAAAACTATTATTTAGATGCCAATTATCTTCCAAATTTATCTACATATTCCATTCAAAGTTTCAGTAATGGTTTTTCTGGTAGAAATTGAAAAATCAATTTTATAATTTATATTGAAATTCAAGGGGCCAAGAAGAGCCAAGATAATCTCAAAAAGTTAAAAAGTTACAGAAATTAAGTTACCATATATCAAGGCCAAGTATAAAGCTACAATAATTAAAACAGTATAATAGCCGGGCACAGTGATACACACCTATAATCCCAATAGCTCGGGAGGCTGAGACAAGAGAATCACGAGTTCAAAGCCAACCTCAGTGAAAGCGAGACGCTCAGCAACTCAGTGAGACCCTTTCTCTAAGTAAAATAAAAACAGGGCTGGGGATGTGGCTCAGTGGTCGAGTGCCCCTGAGTTTAAAGCCTGGTTCCAAAACAAAAACAAACAAACAAAAAAACAGTATAGTGCTGACACAAGGATAGAGATGGAGACTAATGGTACAGAATAAGATATTCAAAAAACAGACTCACACATATACGTCACCTAATATATAAAATAAGGCTCCTCTATAAATTCACTCTCTCTTCAATAAATGGTGCTGGACCATTTGGACACAGAAAAAAAAAAAGAAATTCCAGATGAAAGTAAATGTAAGTGTAAAAGGTAAAACAATGAAAAAATCTTGGTGGAATCACAGGAGAATAGTCCTATTATGGCCTATAAAAAGCATTAGGTAATAAAGTACTGATAAATTTTATGGCTTACATGTCCTTTAAATGAAGAACTAATGTTTATCCAAAACTTCCATTAAGAAATTAAAAAAGAAAAGCCAGAGAATAGAATGCAGTACACTTTACAAAAAGGTAAAAGGAAAAAAAAATACAAGAAACTCCTCTAAATTAATGATAAAAGACCAAAATATCCCAAATATAGGCAAAAGATATGTCATGTAAATGGATAGCCAAATTTCCAAGAAGCATTTGGGAAGCCATATAACATCATTAGTACTCATTAATTACATTAATATAATAAAATTGTATATCACTATACCTCCTGCCAGAATGGTTAAAATCAAACAGACTGTCAATACTAATTGAAAGTGAGGATGCAGAGCAATTAGAATGTTTGTACAGTTTTGTGGGAAGGATATCAGTGCAGCCACTGTAAAAATTGTCGGGCTTATCAAGTAAAAAGAGGTGTGTACCCAGTGACTGGAGAGAAATGAGTGGATAGGTCCACCAAATGGCAAGAACAAGAATGCTTACTTAAAACAGAAAAGAAAAAGAACATTTATAACAGTTGTATTTTAATGTCCCCAAACTTGAAATAATCAACCTGTTCATCAAAACTAGATCAATATGCTGTACTCATACAGTGGGATACTCTACAGCCACACGAAAAGCAACGTAAGGGAATCTCAGTGAAAGACACAAAAGAGAGTACATACTGAATTTATGCAATGTTCAAGAATAGAGTTTCAAAACAATAAAAGAGTAATTGTTAGTGTTACCTTTGCGAGGAGTACTGACTGGGAGGAGGATCTAAGGGAGAAATCTAGGGTGCTCAAAATGTTCTACCCATAAATGAGAATTTTGATATTTTATTTCAATGAGAGGGTGGTATTAAGTGTGCATCTATGTATAAAAATTCATTAAGCTATATACTTAAGATTTGTGCAGTCTATGACTATGATACGTAATACAATTAAAAAGTATCGCCGGAAAGTGTGATGAGTCCTGAGACATGCAAGTCCAAGACACGGAGTTTAAAAGGGCATGACTGGGGCCTCTGGTCAGTCCAGTGGGTCCTCTGTGTGTGTCCTGGGAAAGGGGAGAGCACACCCACATGGAGAAACATTTCTGGGCCTCTTTTTAACTAGGATTCTTCCTCTCTGAATGTTGCTTCAGTCAACTGAAGATATGTGAAAGGAACATAAAAAAAGAGACTTTCTAAATGCCAGTTACTGAGGAGGGCGAAAGAGAAGCCCGAATGCTGGTGATTTTCCAGTCTAGAACCTGGAGTCGAGGCTGCTGGGAAAGAGTGGCTGGAGGTCATTTACACAGTGACACCAACTATCCTGAGAACGGTTCATCAACTACTCCCCCCTTCAGGGATCTCCCAGGACTGTCGCCTCAGCCCTTCAGGGTGGTCACTTTTCCAGACTTACATTTCTTTTTCAAGCAACAGCATTTCTTCTTCCTTTTCCATCTTCCTCAGAATTTCCTGGTATTTCTTCCCACGGGGAGTGGGGGAGGAGATATCATAAATGAGAATTTTGATATTTTATTTCAATGAGAATAACTCACAATATTCTAAACATGCATGGGTATGAACAAAGTAGGGAAACATCTAATAAAAACTAAGGAGACGGTAGAAACCAGGATGGATCTACATGAACAGTAGGAGCCCTTACTCTGGGCCCTGCTTGAACCCAAATCCCAGTGCTGACACATGAGCTCCCCAGCAATGCTCCCTAAGTCTTTGAGACCTCGGTGTTCTCTTCCTCATGACAGTATCAGCCTTGCCGAGTTACTAGATACATTAAGAAAAAGACTGCATTTTTCAAAATAAAGACCGAATCCTTAACATACATCTGTTTTGTTGTTGCTGCGATTGCTTAAAAGGCAGATCCCAGCCTAAGGAGAAACCAAGCATCCCGTGGTCCTGGGGGAAACTGCCTCTACTCTGACTTCTTCTGGAGGTGGAGTACCTTTATGTAGTGGGCCTGGTCCTTGCAGAGCTGATACACAGATTGGTAGTCACTCTCTAGCTAGAAAGAGAAGGAAATTAACAAGCTTCATAAGTTAAATCAGAACTAAGCTGTTCCCTGAAATCTATCTGGGGCACTGGACACTTGGCTGGTTACCTAGCAACTCCTGACTTGAAAGGAAAACAACCACCTCACAAAGAAGTGATCTCATCGTTCACACAGGATCTAATTCTGAGAAAAGGAACTCGCCAGAAACAGCCAGGGGATGGTATAGGGCAATTAGGACTGGGATTCAACAGTGGTATCTGGGGTGGGAAATGTTTAAGAAATGGGAAGAGCAGTACTTCTAATGGAAGTGCTCTTTCTCGCCATTTGCATGTGAGCTGGAAATTCACTTGCCAGATGTTCTTGTACCTCCCCCTGCCTTGCTTCCAAATGGTTCTGTTTTTAAGACCCTGAGAGTTCCCTCCTATTCTAATCCTGGGTAGACGCTCAGGTTGGTGACACTGCTCTACCTTAATCATTTCTTTCTCCTGCTCTGCACAGGACTCTGATGACTTCTGCAGTCTCACCTATGGAAGACAAGGGACAGCAGAAAGTTAATAGCATTTCTTTGTGCAAGACAAATGTGTAAAAATCACCTGCTCCAGAGGAGTAGAATGCATGATAATAACGGTTATCTTGTGTTGTGGACATGGGAGGCTAATGTAGGGTAGGCATGATTATTACTCTCATTTTACAGATGAGGAAACAAAGGCAAAAAGAAATTAAGTACATAACTTGTCTAAGTCTCTTAGGGGCAGAGCTGACATTGAAACCTCAGGAGACTGATTCCTCGTGGAGCCTACCCATCCTCCCTCCTCCAGTCATAGTCTGCAGGGTGCACACCATGACTTCTGCATACACAGGGAGCAAAACAGAAAGCTTGCTTCTCCTTTTCATACAAACGCTAAGATCAGTGGGACTCTGGCACAGTGAGCTAAACCAAGTTGCAGTATTCATCACAAGAATCTGCAGTTTCCCAGTAGGGTGTTTGCCCCTATTGGGAGTACAACTTATTCTTTCATTCAACAAACATTTATTGGGATTTACTATGTACCAGCCTTTACTCTAGACATTGGGTTATAAACAACATAGTTTCAAAAATTTATGATCACATTGGTTTACCTTTTACTAGAGGGAAAAGATAATAAAATACGTTTCAAAATAAAACTTATTTGGCTTGTGAGACATGGCTTGGAAAGTCAGATGAGATGATTAACACACTCTTATATAATTGTGGTAGTTACTATTTCTTCCTGCTCGAATACCGGTGTTAGAGTATCCTCACTAAGATCACAAACTTCTTGAGAACATGTCCCAGTGGACATTCAGAACATGCATTTTATTAATGCGTGATGAGGCCTGTGTTATAATTCCCTCCACCAGGTGGCACTGTAGTCCTCTCTGATACTAGTATAACTAATAATGTCCCTGCAAAACATGGGATTAAGTAGAGGGAATAAAGGCCACCTGCTCACCTCTGATAAGCACAGAGGCCTCCTCTGCACCTTGCCACCTTGCCTAGGAGAAATAATTTCTCCAAGTGCCTGGCAGTGATACATCTCCCAGAAAATCTCTAGGTTTGCTGTTCTACTCACCTTCAATTCTTCTAAAATCTGGTTTTGGGCACTGTTATCAAACTCAACATTCTTAAATCTTGAAATCTGAAATGTATTCCAAAAACTGTGAACTTAGTAAGACACACAAACATAAAAACATGGTCCAGTGGTAGAGTCAGGGGTCCCAGGCTGCACAATGGGACTACTAACTCAGATCCTGAATTAGTTCAGGAAGATGACAATTCTACTGGGATTCCTAAGAAATGATCCTGGTTTCCAGGGTGGACTCTGCCGAGTGGAAAACAGCCCTTCTGTTAAAGTACTTATGTATTTCCACATTCTGAGTTGTGCATAGGACTCATTTCTCATGTTCCCATCCCACCTGCCCCCCTCCTCTTTTTGGTACTGGGGATTGAACTCACTGAGTTATATCCCCAGCTCTTTTTTATATATATTTTATTTAGAGACAGGATCTTGCTGAGTTGTTTAGGGTCTCGAAAAGTTGCGAGGCTGGTTTTGAACTTATGGTCCTTCTGGTCTCAGCCTCCTGAGCCGCTGGGATTAATACAGGCATGTACCACCACACTGGGACTGCCCACCTTTCTCTTGAGCAGGTAGTGTGCTAGGGATCCTAGGACACCCAAACCCAGAATCCACCCCTTACCTTGTTCTGAAGCTCCATCACATTGTTGCTGAGGATCTTATTTGTTTTTTCCTATAGGAAGAAGGAGGTAAAAGGGACAAATGTGCCCTGCTCTTGTACCTTTCCCCTCACTCGACCACTCAAATCATCAAGAAATGAGTGTGTCTTGTGGGAAAAGTGCACTCTGGGCCTCATGTTTGCAGATCTGAGACAGACCCCAGACCTCAACTCCGTGCTGAGCACTTCACTCTTAAACCACTGCAATTTCTACAGATGCAGAAGTGATGAGCACATGATGGTCCCCTGGGAAAGAGAGTGGAAAAATAGGCACAAAGGACTCCTATGGTCTTTCTCCACCAGAGGGCTCCTTACCAGCTTTGCTGACTCTAGTTCCAGGTTCCTCAGAGTATCCTCCTTCTCAAATATGATCTGGTTTAACTCCTCCCTCTCTTTGGCTTGTCCTATTGACAGGGTGATATCTCTTTCCAGACTGAAAAATATAAAGTCACCCAGGTGTGCCCCAGTCCTAAGGAAGCTGTGGAGGTCCCATCTTGAGAAGCCACTCCCAGCCAGACTTAGAGAGCAGGAGCAGTTACATATTGCAACGGCAATCAAATGTGGAGAAAATTAACACAAAAGTCCCTGGATAAACCCTTTGACGGTACTACAGTTCATGTTTCAGAATTTAAATAAGGGGCAAGACTGGCCACCAAGAAAGCAAACCTTCCTCCCACCTTCTCTCTAACCCAAGGGGCATCCATGGAGCCCTTCTTTCCAACCAACCGCAAAGCAAAGCCTGACCTTTGAATAGTTTCTTCTTTCTCCTGAATTTGTCTGAGAAGAACCTGATTTGCCTCATCCAGTCTCAGCAGGTCCTTTTCAAGGTCTGAGTTCAGGTAGTCAAGGTTCTGCTTTGTCATTTCTAAGTTTGGTATGTCCATCATCTTGTGCCTACAGGAAAATCCTCTTCTTTACTAAATTCAGGACAGGAAACAAAAAAATCAAGAAGACTTTCCCCTCTAATCTCATCCATTCCCATCTCCTGTTGTCAGCAAGCCTAGCCAGCTCTTTATTTTCATGATAAATTGATTTTTCTATAGTGTTTTGCATAAATTCCTCAAAATCAAATTGCACTTTAATACTAAACACTGTAAGTGAAACCCATTAAAGCACAAATATTTCATGAAGCAAAATAAAAGATTTTTCATATGAATAGTTATACTCTGACTAACTTGTCCTTGAAAACTTTAGATGGGGTATGTGGAATCCAAGCAAAACCTAGAAAGCATTTAAAGATCTGCAAGGGAGAGGAGTTTCTTCAGTCTCCTTTTATTACAAACTTGAAAGTCTTCTAACTCAGGCAGGAGTCTAGGCTGGGTTGAAGGCAAGGAGGGGGTTGGATTTTTTCCCCCACAAACAGGACCAATTTGCTGTGTAAGACACAGCAATTTGCTATGACTTTAAACCCTGTGAATATAGTCTCATGAAGTACAGGAATAAAACCAAAGTTACTTCTCCCTAAGAAACCTCCCCAGTACTGAGGGGAATCATGTTCAGCACAGATGAGGCTGATTATCTTAACACAGTGGTTCCTCTCCTGAATTCCATTATTGTTCCTGATACTCGCCCATCATCCAATGGATTCTGTCCAAGTTCTTCCATTGTAGATTTCCTAAAATGTTAACATACACATTTGTTGTGGAAATGAAGGACCTATTGTTCTGACCAGTGACTGGTCCAGGAAGGAGCAGGTACAAGTTAAACCCTGTGATCAGGCAAGACAGAGCCAAGAAGAGACCAAAGCCTTTATTCCTTCACTTTCTAGCATCAATTGCAACATTTCAGCAAACTAGATCATAGTTTAAGATCTCATAAATGAATCCCACTGAAATATTGAAATCTTTTTCATTTTTCAAAAGAATTCAATCTATCTTTTCCCTTTCTTGTTTATATTTGTCCCATTGGGCAAAGTATTGGGGGTACTCATGCATGTCTACAAATGCATTGACACTTTATTTTTAACCAAAACTTTCATGGAAACAGGGAGGAAAATGCCTGATTTCTGTTAGTCTATTGCCCTCCTACTTTCAGGCAAGCTCTGGATATCATATGCCAACTTGATCCAGAAACAGCAGCACAAGCAACAAGATGACAGTTGCTAGAAGGAAGAGACAAATATCAAGGTCTGAAGGGGCCGTCTCCTAACCACTGCACCAAAACAGGAAGTGCAGTACCAAATTCAATCTAAAAAAGGCTGACTGCCAAAACCTTTCTCTTTTCACATTGCATCTTCTCTTCTTTTCTCTGAGCATTGAGCTTTTTTTTTTTTAACCTCCTTTTTAAATTCCTTCTTTTACCTTCTTTTCCTTTGATCCCCTTCCCTACATTTCTCTCTTTTTTCCTGCACTTTTTTGCACACAAGGCACCTCAGGCTGTGGTGATGCACTCTGAACTCACCTTTCTTTTCCCAACTGAGATTTCCTCTGCTCCCAACAGAGATTTCCAATTGATATCAGAACTTCCAGGAAAAAAAAAAAACATTTCCTGGCTGACTGAGTTTTCCAAATATAGGGGGGAATGTCCTCTCCAGCTGGGTGGGGCAGCATGTCATAGTGAGTAGGGATGGTTGGGGTGGCAACAGTACCTCCTCATGCCTGTAGCAGATTGGGAGCAGAGTTCAGAACTTTTGGACAGTTTAGAGGTCTTCTCAAACAGCAATAAGATCTATGGAACAAATTTCCAGGCCCAGTGTAAATCTCTTCTGAAGCAGTAATCGACTCTATGGATTGTGGTTTCATTCTCCCAAATCTCTAGGCCTAGCAATAATTGTGATCACTCTCACTTCTCTTCCATGATCTCTGTGTGGCATCTTCACAAATTTCTGCCCCCAAATCCAAACCATGCATCTCTATTCAATGCATCTAAGATCTCCTAAGTAGGAATGCCGGCAATGTTCTGAGTAAAGTCTTATTCGTGGGCTAAGTAAGTCCTCAAATCTCTACAAATTGGAATCTGGGAGCTGCAAAACAAACTCCTTTGTTTCCCCCAAACTGGCACTGCCAAGTCATTGGAAAGGAAGGATCTCATGTTTCAAAGGTGGAGTATGTGGAGGGGGAGCAGGAATAAAGGAAGAGGAGTGTTTTGTCCAGATTCCCACTCCTTCAGAACTCCCCCTTTATTTTTTAAGATCTTAAATTACTGGAACAGCAAAGGGAATTTAACATACACCAATGTTGTTCTATGAAGCTTTCCTGAATTCCTCCTTGTTATAGTTTGGAACTGAAATGTCCCTCAAAATCTCATGTGTAGGCTTAGTCCCCAAGGCAGGTGTGTTCAGAGGTGGGACTCTGGGGAGGTGATTGAGACATGAAAGTTTTGACCTCGTCAATGGATTAATCCATTTATGGATTCATAGTTTAATGGGGCATAGGCAGGTGGAGAAACTTAGAATGTGGGGGTCTCATTAGAATGAGTAGGTTCTTGGAGGTGTGCCCTTGAAAGATGCACCTTATCTCTGGTTTTGGGCCACTCCCTCTGCATCCTGGCCACCATGAAGAGAGCAGCTTTGCTCTACCACATTCTTCTCCATCATTTTCTGGCTCATAACAGACCCAGCAACAATGCGATCAGTAGACTATGGACTGAAACCTCTACCCATGAGCCAAGATAAACCTTTCCTCCCTTAAAATGATTTATCTTAGGTGTTTTGTCACAATGATGGAAAGCTGATTAATATTCTGTGTGTTTCCTAAGAATATGAGACAGGATATGGAATGGAAAGACATCAATAAAGATATGTACTTGACTTCAGATCTGTCCATTTCTGAACCTCACAGTCAATTCACTCTTCCATGATCGAAGTCCAAACCTTGTCCAGATAAATTGCAGTCATCTCAAGTCTCTGAAAGTCATTCTAGAACACACCACTACCCATAGGAATGTCTCTTCCATGCACTAATATCTGTCACAATCTTATCTAGCCTTCTCGACTCAGCTCAAATGCTGCTGCTTCTGCACCTTCTGCAATATACCAAGCCCTAGTCCCTGCAGAATAACAACAGCTGCTCTTCTCTTTTGGCAGCTTATATTATTTTAAATCTGGTCTCCATCTTACAGTTTGGTTATAAACTCCTCAGGAGAGTGGTTTTAATTGTGTTGATTTTGATACTCCTCCCTAGTTGTACTCCAGAGCCACTGTTTACAAGGAATTCAATGTGGGAATAAACTAGGTTAGAGACAGAATGCATCTGCCTTTCATTCTCTCCTGGGACTTTGTGGTTGCAATTACCTTGAGAAAATTCCTTAATCTCCAAGAGCCTGATTCCTGACCTGTGAAACGAGCATTACTCCTACTTCACAAAGTTGTGGTGGGGATGATGGGGAAAAAACACGTGCAAAGCCAACACATAGCCAGCCAGGTGTGCAGCAGTACTTCGTTCTCACCTACCTTCCCCAACACAGTGTGCACTTCATTGTTCATCTCATGTTACATTTGCACATGACACATGCTGAATGATTTTGGAATAAATGATTCATTCCACTGTCTTTGTCTAGAACAGGTGTTGCCCTTTTCTTCTTCCAATACACCTGAGAGACTCCCACCTGTACACTCGAATTAGTACACTCATTAGCCACACGGTGCATCAAGGCAGAATTCTCAACAGAAGGCCACATCCCCCAGGAGGCTGATCCACAATCAGCAGGAATGTAATTTGAAAGCCTCGGTTAAACATCCAGGGAAGGAGGCACCTCTGTGAGAAGCACTGATGAAGAACATATTCTTCCCACCAAACTGTACCTTCTTTACCTCAAAGACACCGCACAAATTCATCCTGTCTGTAAAGCCTTCCAAAATGAGCCCTTTCTAGGTTATTGCTGCAAACAGACAATATATACTTTGAGAGCAACTATATTTTCCTTTCTTCTTTGAAGCTGCCCCTTTTTATCACTGTACTGAACGTTGCAGTCCATAGTTTTCCTTTCATTTTATTCTCTATTCTTATTTCACAAGGTCCTGATTTTTAATGTACTGCCTTATCATTTTGTTAAATATGGATATAGAGATGGATTGTACAGATATAAATAGACGAGGCATGGATACCGATGTAGACATTAATATAGAAGTAGCTAATAGACAGGGATATGAGAGAGGAAGTGGGCTGAGTGTAGTGGGTAATAATATTGGCTGGGGAATCAAACCAAAGTACTTTGAGCAACTTTTCTACCACTTCCCAGATGTAAAGACTTGAACAAGTGATTTAAACTTTCTGAGCCTTGGCTCTCTAATTTACTAAATGGACATAATGTGTACCTAATTCATAAAATCATGGTAAAGTTGAAAAAGGATGTATCATAATCTCTGACACAAAATAAATGCTCAATAAGATAAGAACTAAAATTATCATCATTATTAAAAGCATCTAAATGTGCTCAGGATCATTAATAGTTCCATCTTCACTCAGCACTTCAGGGAATTCCTCCAGTCTGTCTCCACCAGCAATCATTTGTCATACCCTTTCCTTAGTTTCTGCTTTTTGTCTAGTCTCTGGCTTCACTTGAACCTTCACTTGTGCCCCGGACACTGCCCTTTGGCTCTTCTTTACATTCACTCCCTGTCACCATAGACCACACTCCTTCAACCCTGTACCAGAATACAACCTGGAACTAAAAGTCCCAATTTCTTTAGGTAGGGCCTGAGGTCCATCAGATGCTTCAAGTCTCTTGTGAATATGTAGGATATGTGACAGCCGCTCAAAGAATGGGACATAGACCAGTGAATAAATTTATACAGTAATTGATTAAGGGAGAAAATTGGGGGATTTTATTGCTAGAAGCAGAAATTGGGGCAGGTTATGCTAATTAAAAATTGAAAGCACTCTTAATACAGAGATATTTGTGCTGGATATTTATAGCAGGTGGGTTGAAAATTTTCAACTTGATCCAGTGTTTGGAATATCGGGATCTCTAAATGTTCTTAGTTGTTTATCATCTTCTTCTGATAGATTACTCCAAGATGATAGCCTCCTTTATTTAACTTTTTATTTTGAAATAATAAGTTGCAAAAATAGTGTTGAGAGGCAGCACATACCCATTTTTCCCAAATACCTTATGTAACTCTGGTACAATATTGAAAGCAGGAAATTTACATTGGTTTAATGTGTGTGCATATTTTTATGACAGTTTGTCAGAAGTGTAGATATGTGTTACCCTCACTGCAGTGAAAATTCAGAACTTTGATCTCCACAAACATCTTCCTCATGCTACTTCCTTACAGTTCACCCTCTTCCATTTCCTCCACCATCCCTAACCCCTGGATGCCCTAGTCTGTTTTCCATATCTATAATTTTACCTCTTCAAGAATGTTATGTAAATAGAATCATATGGTATATGATCTTTTGAGATTGTCTTTTTAATTTTTTTTACCCTTGAGACCCATCCAAATGATTTTGTAAAACAATACATTGTTCTTTTTTATTGATGAGTAGTACTCCATGTTGAGGATGTTCCACAATTTGTTTAATAGTTAAGGGTATTTTTGTTGTTTCCAGGTTTGGCTATTGCAAATAAAGCTACTATGATCACATGTATAAACATTTTTTTATGGATATAAATTTTCTTTTTCTGGGATAATTGCCTATAAATGTGATGGCTGGGTTGTATCATAAATCTATGTTTAGAGTTTAAGAAAGCATCAAACTACTTTCCTGAGAGGCCTATGCACTCTTTTACATTCCCATTAGTGAATGTATGGAAGATCCAGTTGTTCTGCATCCTTTCTACATCTTGGTATTGTCATCAGTTTTGTTTTCATTATTTTAACAGTTTTGCATTAACAGGCACATCGTGGTCTTAATTTGAATTTGCCTAATGACTAAGAATGTTAATTAAATGTTTTTTCCCATGCTTATTTGCCATCTGTGTATTCTCTTTGGTCAAAGTATCTCATTGCCCATTTTTTAATAGTAGTGTTTTGGTTTATTTTACACTATTGATATCATTGAATTCTTCATGTATTTATATATATGAATCCTTCATCAGGTATGTGATTTGCAAATATTTGCTCTCAGTTTGTAAGTTATCTTTTCATCCTCTTAACTGAGCTTTCACAAAGCAAATTTCTAGATATTTTACTATCCAATTTATAATTTTTAGTTTTATGAATCATGTTTTTGGTCTTATGTCTACAACTCTTTGCTAAGTCCTTAAGATTTTTTCCTGAATTTTCTTATAAAATTTTGTAGTTTTACATTTTATATATAAATCTATTATCCATTTTTGGATCAATTTTTCTCTAAGGTGTAAGGTTATGTCAAGGTTTTCTTCCTTCCTTCCTTCCTTCCTTCCTTCCTTCCTTTTGTCTTTGGATATCTAACTGCTCCAGCACCATTTGTTGCAAAAACTATACTTCTTCCACTGAATAATTTTTGCACTTCAGCCAAAATCCAGTTGGCCAGAGCATGGTCTTTTGACAAATTCAGCTTATTTGATTTGATAGTGAGGTAGCGTTAGTTTCCATATCTCTCAAATTCTGTTGTAAGTGGAATTTTTCTGTTATGACAT